TTTTCTGAGTGTTCGATCTTTGTATTAATAATTATAACAAACTAGTGGAGTAGTTTCACAAATAATAATTGAATATTAATTCAATAAAAAATTTAATTAAATTACGTATATTTGTATTTTCTAACGAACCAATGTTTCAATCACCCGTGACGATTCATATGAAATATGCTGCTTGCTGCGTTGCAAGCAGTTAGGCTTACATGATTGAAGGACATGTCTTTTCTTCTCGACAATTTTGGCAGGAATGACGACCAAACGAAGTAAAGTAAGAATGACGAAGATAAAGAATTAGAGAAAGATTCCAAATTTCAAAAGTAAGTGGCCAAGAACCAGGAAAGGGTGATAAAAAGATGGGATGACGATGAAAGAGGTCGCATCGTCTCAGGCGTGTCAATTACCAACAAGCACACAACCATCATCGCGTCACTTGATATCATAAAAATAAATTAGACAAGACAGGACAAAACAAAACACGGCTATGCAAATGGTTATTCTAGATAAATAAGATACATCAATAATTAGTATTTTATTTGGGTTCATGATAGTAGTGACCATAAATGAAACAAATTTAATAACAAAATTCGTTTAACTCTCGTACAAAACAAGTAAGTTTATAAATTAGAAAAAAATATTAGGAATCACCTTAAGTTTACCTCTAAGTGATAAAATAATTATTCTAAAATTAGCTACTAAATCTAATCAAATAACTTCTGACAATGTTCCAAATGTATTTAATATTTGCACGAAGTAAGTAATTTTTCGATTCCGATAAAATTAGATTTTGTTGAAACTTTATTATTAACGACATGGTTACTATGTCACCCAAGGTGGACCACTAACGTATTGCGAATCCCAACATCATCACCGCTCACTTCTATAAACGCTACATAACCCGGTTACTACATTTGTGGAGTGTGTGCGTTGTTATTATTATTGTGTTATTATAACTACCTACTCAAATAACTAACAACCTTACTACCAACTTTCTGTCATGAGCTGCATAGCCGGCATGAATCTGGCCATCGTCCACTGCCAGTTGGTCTTTCCCTCCGCTATCCCGGGCGTATTACTCCCTTAAATTGCACCCCCTGGTATATCCAGCTTGTCCGGGTCAAATTTACTCTGTGATGTGGAGCTTATGTTCCATGTTTATTATTACCGTTGCTCTTCAAATGATTGGAACTTCCTCATTGTCAGCCGAAATACTTTGCGTCATATTATTATAACTAAAATTATGGGACAAAGTACCATTGAATGGCGTCCTAGCTATTAAACAAAACCTTTGTATTGGAACATACTTCACAACTAAGACAATTATCGACGCAACCAAAATAACAATTAAAATATTAAATATACCTTTGACATAATAATCTTCATTAAAATTATTAATTGATTTACGTATTTCTTCTAAAGTATCTGTAAACTTAGACATGTATGTTATGTTCATAGTACAATTTGTCTCATTATTACCTGTGTAGTTATCTGGTCTACAAGTAACTCCGTCTACATTGGCAGTATAGTAATTTGGAGCTTCACTCGTTACCAGATTGAAACTATAATACATATCTTGCAAATATTTTTTAAAACTAGCTATGTCGTGGCAAGAAATATTATTGCCACCTATGTAAAATTTCTTCATATTCGTCAAGGATATAAATTTTTTAAACTCTAAATTAGTTATTAAATTATTTTCAAAACTTATTTCTTTTAATAAAGTACAACTGTGTAGAAGATTAACATTGAAGTCGTGTATCAAATTGTTAGAAAGATTTAATGTCTGCAGATTTGTTAGTCCTTGAAATACGCCATGTTGAAAATCTGTCAATTGATTTTTGTGTACATTCAAAACTACAATATTTTTAGTATTGATGAATGAACCGGGTTCAATTGTTTTAATCAAATTGAAGCTAATATCAAGCATTACTAGCTTAGGCATCGTTTTAAAGGATTTCGTATCAATAAAACTAATTAAGTTCTTAGATAAATTCAAAGAAACCACTCCGTTAATATTAAATATGTACAACGACCCAAGGTCTGCAATGTCGCATGAAGATAGGTCAACTTCTTCAATAGAGGCATTCTCTGTGTGTTGAAAATCAAAACTTTTCTTGTTATTAATTATAGTTAACGACGCTAAACCTCTTAGATTGGAAAATACGTCGCCAGTAACTTGCAAGTCTCTGTTATCAGACAAGTTCATAATCTTCAGAGATTTCAATGCATGAAATGCTTTTGGGTGTACGTTTAATATATTATTAAACTCTAAGTGCAGTGTTTGAAGTTCAGTAAACCCAGCGAACGATATATTTGAAATTGATGTAATTTTATTATTATTAAGAAACAGTGATTCTACTGATGACATGCCTTTTGGATTGATTTCGAAGGTAACCAGAGAATTATACGACAAGTCTAAAATTTCAATATGTTCGACTTCAGCAAATGTATCAAAATGTATATGGGATAATTCAGCATGGGAACAATTAAATGTTGTTGTTTTTAAGCCAGAAATGGCTGCTTTCGTAAAATTACCAATTTCAGTATACGAAATGTCAAATTTTAGTAATGCAGATAACCCTTGTAGATTTATTATTTGTATAGAAAACAAGCGATTGTTGTGTAATAATAGAATTTCCATTTTTTTTAGTTGCATAAAAGCACCAGATTCGATTGATTGAATCAAATTGTACGATAAGTCTAAAAGTTCTAAAGAAGACACATTAGCAAACGTATTATTCGATATTTTCTCAAGCATATTTATTTGAAAATAAAATTTCTTTAAGTTAGTTACGCCGGGCATTAAAAAGGCCAATGTTCCCAATTCATTATTGGACAAATCTAGTTCTTGAAGATCTTTTACAAATGAGAATGTTGACATCCCTATTTCGGATAATGCATTTGTGCTTACATTAATGGATCGCAACGTCGCGCCACTAAAAGTATTATTATCAATGTCTTTTAGGTCACTATTACTCAGATCTAAATAGTCACATACGAGACCACCGAACGGTTCTAGTAGTAGAAGATATTTGTTACCATTCAAAAATAAATTTGCAAATCTCTTACCGTCAAAAGCGTTTCTATAAATACCTACAAGATCATTATTTGTCAAACGAAGTTCCCGTAAATTATTGTTATAAACAAAATGTGACCGAACCCATTCGATTTTGTTGCCAGTTAAGTCCAATATTATTAATTTTGACAATGTTTGAAAAGCATCATTATCAATTGTTTTTATCTCATTGTGTCCAAGCCTAACGTCTTCTAGATTAATCATCCAATTTAAATCGTCTATTTTTGAAATATAGTTATAATCTACGTGTAAAATTTTCAAATTCCTAAGTTTGGTTGCGATGTTTGCAATGCTAGATAGCTTGTTGTATGACAAGTAAAGTGACTCGAGTTGTGACAAGCCTACAAAGGCAGCTGCAGAAAGGTGAGATATCGAATTGTGTGATAAATTCAAATGTTTCAGATGGCTAAAACTAGCAAAGCAGTTGTCAGGTACGCTGGTTATTAAGTTGTAGCTCAAATCAACAGTTTCCATTAGTTGCTGATCTTTATCTGGTTTGGCACTTTTCAAAACTGATATCGAATTCTGGGAGACATTAAATTTTTTTGTCTGTTTCAAAATTAGTATATCATCAAATTTAATTTTTGTGAGAGAACAATCAAGAATACTTAATTCAGTAACATTCACTAATACGAGAGCTTCATCGATGTCTAATATTCTGGTGTTGGTTACAGTGAGTGTTACAATAGGTGTAAACAATTCCTTTAAGACGCCTTCAGTAATTATGGGATGGTTGTAGATACCATTTAGTAATATATTTACTCTGTTTAGAGTATACGAGCGATATTGTAGGAATGAAAGTTCTGTTTCTAGGCCTATATCATTACTTGAACACACTATATTAACCGCGTTATCTCCGTCGTCTTCTGAAGTGCATTTTCCCCAAGTATGTTGGTGTAAGTACGCCACAATCACCAGTAGCACAAGTTTTATTTTATCTGAAAGAAAAATAAGTATATTATAGCTTATGACCGATTTTTAAACTGTTTACTATTCTTTTAGTTCTTAGTATTTTCCAAATTCTAATTGAGATACACTTCAAAATTAAATCTTATATTGCTTTGATAAATTCAGAAATTGAAACATAGACATACAATATACAATCACGAACCCTGCTGTGGCACTATCATTATAATTAAATTAACTACTAAATTCTACCTTTACTAAGCATCGATACTATCTCAGCTCGAATTCCACTCTGCTGGGACACAGGCCTCCTTTCATGAATTGAGTGGGAATAAGGGCCATGTGCAACGTGGGAAATCAGTTCTGTCAAGCTGACCTAAAGTGGTAGGCATTCGTATGTACTCACAGAGCAATACAAAGCCAGGATAATATAATAAGGGATCCATGTGGACACAAAAAGCCTAATGAATCCCCCAGAGGATCCATGTGGACAAAAAATCTACATAAATTCCCCAAGGGATAGTAGCAGGGGATTCAAATGGACAGAGGGCCACAATTTGCAAGTTTTCGGCAAATACATCGTAAATATTGAATTTATGGTCCATTTACACGGGGCCAATTGACCAGCCATTCCACTTTTAAGATTTGTTGAAGATTCTTTTCTAAACGACTAGGCAAACTAGTGGAGTGGCTCAAGATGCATGTTCACACAAGGCCATGAGCCAATTCAATGCACGTGCGGTGGAGGAAGGTATAGGTCCAAAAAATTAGAAATAGTTCTAATTTACTGGATTGTCTTTATCGTTGGTCCGGAGACACTGCATATTGGTTTGCCTCTATTTATACTAGGTCAATAATGGCTTTGCGTAATGGTATGTTCGTCGATTGGCCCCGTGTAAACGGTCTTTTAGCGTAATAATTGTTCAAACATGTATACATCTATATATATAGCTGATAAACATTAGTGTACTTTAAAATTCTGATAAAACATTATATGTTCTTCCTAGTACAAAAAAAATTTCACTCAAAATAATCTTAGTACAAAGTACTAAAAAAACCATCTCAAAAGTCATTCATGCCCTAGTTTGCTACCCTTAAAGGTGGAATATTTTCTTTAAATTTAAATAGGATTACTGGTGAGGTATCCTCTTTCCAATAAAAAAAGAAACATTTAAATCGGTTCCCAAATGCCTGAGTTATCGCGTAACACACATGCAAAACACATACAGTCGAATTGAGAACCTCCTCCTTTTTTAAAGTCGGTTAATAAAGTATGTTTCTCTTACCCCATCTAACTATACATAATTTTGTAAATCGCATAAACAATTGGTGTAATTTTCCAGGGCTTATCTAGTGTAGCATAATGAGGAAGAGCTGTGTGTTTATTAACCAATAGCATTTGATTATTTGAAATCTCCATTTCGCTTAGTGAAAACAACAGTAAAGATGCGACTGCGACATGACAGTTCCGAGTTCCATTCTCGGTAAAACCAACTTTTCTAGATTTGTATAAACGCGCTAAGGCTTAATACTAAATTATAAAAAAAGAATTTGTTACATACCCATTGCCCTCATTTAATTATATTGTTTATATAATTCCACAAACACTGTTTCGTATTTTGGACTCGGTAGCACAGTGGTCACATTATCAATGTTATGATTAAACGAGTTCTGGACCGACAAAGCTAATCATTTTACACATAATGCAAGCATTATCACTTAACCCCACACAGTACAGTCACTGAAATTATCTTCTATTACTAGAACATAATGTTAATCAAACGCATTGACTTACAAATAAATGGACGACGGGTCTAATACAAAAACCACGAAAAAAATGTCTTAAATCAACATACACACATCAAAAGTGTCTAGGGATGAAGTGAATATTTTTGAAATAAAAATTATTTAAGCAATATTTACCAAATCCAGTCTTCCAGGACGACTTCTTACTTTAATGCTTATGTTTTATTTAACCGCTTACCCCTATATTTAATTAAAATAAACTAAAATTGATGTTTTTGCAAATTCTGGGAAAAAACTCAAATTAACGGCGTCAATTAAATGACAAAAAAATGGCGAAAATGATGATTTTGCTCATTTTTATTGTAAAGATAAGAAAATTAATAATCTGTATTTCCACCATTAACACGAATCACACAATTACAGCGATTTGGCATGCTTAAGATGAGTTCATCAAAATCACTTTGAGGAATGGCCGCCCATGTGTTTTGTAACAAGTCAAAATATTGTTGTAGAGTATGTACGGTATGCATACTCGGCACAGCTCTTCTTTGAAGCATATCCCATGCGTGCTCAATTGGATTGAGGTCTGGCGATTGAGCAGGCCACGGCAGAACGTTGATACGAGCTTCGGCAAGAATGCGTGTTACGACTCTAGTCGTGTGTGGACGTGCGTTGTCATGCATTAGTTGAAATGAATCACCCAACTGGCCTCGCAAAGGGATGATAACATCTGAAACAATCCTCTCTGCGTAAACTTGAGCATTGAGGTTATCCCTGATCCAAATGAGATCGGTTCTTCCGCCGATCCAAATACCGGCCCATATCATTATTGTTCCCCCACCATATGGATGAACTTCCTGACAATATCTCAAACGTTCATGACGTCCAGATGTTCTCCAAACTCGAGTACGTCTTGTATCCGGTCTCATACCGAAGCGGGATTCATCCGAAAAGCACATATAGCGCCAGTCTTCTTCCTCCCAGTTTCTGTGTTCGCGAGCCCATCGTAAACGGGTCCTGCGATTGCAGGGTGCAATAGGTGGAACTCTGAGCGGCCTTCGGGATCGCAGACCCACTTCACGTAAACGATTTAGGATTGTTTGATCGCTTATTAGTAAGCCTGAGGAGCTGTGGAGCCTCGTAACCAACATCATGGCGGTCATGGTACAATTCCGTCGAGCAGTATTTTGGATATACCGGTCCTGTCTGCGAGTCGTGATGCGAGATCGTCCTCCATGTCGCTCGGCCACGCTGCCCGTCATGCGATAGCGCGTCCAGAGGCGACTTATGACGCTCTGTGTAGTGTTAAGAGTGAAAGCCACAGCACGTTGCCTGGAACCAGCTTCCAACATTCCGACGGCTCGCATCATCACTTCTCGGGTTAAATGGTGTCGTCTCTCCATAATAATGTAAATTGTTTCGGTTCCGATGCAGATATTGTAATGATTTCGTCAAAACGCTATAACTCATTTTTATACAAAACCATATTGACAATCGATTTTCTTCTTATTATCGAATTTTAAACAATATTCCTTATTTAAATGTTAAAACTCACTAAAAAGTATCAATAGCGATACAAAAAAGTTAATATAATTAACCCTAATTGCAGCAATACTCTTAAACGTACTTGATCCCTAGACACTTTTGATGTGTGTATTTAAACGTAGTGACATGTAAAGGAATATGAAAAAGCTAAAACGTTGAATTTAAATTGTAATGTCATCGCAGTACTGTCTAATTTTGCTTGCTTCGCTGTCAGTCGAACAAACGAAGACTAAAGCGTGAATGACGCTCTGTATACGATTTTAATGCCCTATAAGTTCGGATACTTTTTAGCGCGGACCCGACGTCCATATAATTGTAAGTCAATGATCAAACGTATTAATTTATTTTTTTTATAATTTAAAATTGAAATTACGGTTTTTAATTTAAACTATGTTTAGATGTAGGGGCTCAGGCTAAGAGTGGCTGTAGGTAAACTTTCTTCCTGTTCTGATGGATATTCCCATAAAAACAAAAGAAGTATTTTATTAGTTTGTTTTGGTATTGCAACGCGTACATAGTAATATTTTGAAGTTATCAGAAAAACAATTATTAACATCAGAATAAAAATCCACTCTTAGAGTGGTTACACACGGTGACTTTGAGAAGCGATACAAACACGCGATTGTATCGATGCAATGATGTGTAAAAGTAGACGATTAGCGACAGCATCATCTACTGCATTACGTTTGCATCGCGTTTGTACCGCTTCTAAACGTCGCCGTGTGTAACCACTCTTATTCTTACTTCTCGTCAAAGTGACTTGCTTAAAGTCTAGTCTAGGCCTATTATTGGGCATAAATAACCAAATGCGCAAGTAGATTGGAACATCCTTTCCAAACTTTCACCAAAATGGTGTCATATGCTTAAACACAGTTATCCTAAAATATGTAACATTTTTTGTTTTTATTTTTTCGATGAATCGATAACTCAGTAGAGCACCTTGTGAAAGAGTTCGTCCAGGGAAGTATTGCCACCTTACTCATTTCTGCCGCCAAGCAATAATGTGAGCATTATTGAGTTACGGTTTTAAAGGTCTGGCATGGAACTTGTAAATTTTATGTCCCAGGGCGATGGAATGCAGTGGCAGTGCCCCTCAGATCTTTGCGATTAAAATGCTACTGAATATGTGTAACCATTTTATTCAGCCACTGTACTTTATACAACATCGCAAAAACATGACTGAACCATACTCACCGCGAGCATAAACATGGATTCACAGGGCAAGTAAAGAACTTGCTACTAGAACCGACTCGCGGAATTACCGCTATAAAATAATTAAAACCAGTTGTTGGACTTTACAAACAATACCTCTATTATCGCTAGTTCCATTGTTTGTTCTATTTATGTAGCCACTTGGAGTTCATCTACCAAATCTCATATAAAACATCCAGTAAATTTTCTTTTATCAATGTATACAATTAATAGTAAGAAGAAGTAAATATTTTGATATTAATATCGAATACAAGGGTATCTCTATCAAGCCATTGTTAACGTGAATATGATGAATAAACGGATCACGAATGCGGTAGTATCCATATGCTGGTATTTCACGTGGCAAATAATCACCATGTGTGTAGGTAACATCTGTGACAAATCTATTCGACAAATACAGCAAACACCAAACTCGCGTTACTCACGCTCACGTCAAAGGAGTAAAATTGGCAGATACGCAAGTAAACCGTCCATACCATGGTCATGTTCATTATTTTACATCGAGTGTATAACCAGAAATAGAGACGAAATAAGGTGCCATCCATCCTTGGCAACTCATCAAGTAAATGGGCCTTATATCACTTTTAAATATCAACTCTCGTTTGCGCTGAAATAACAAGTTAGAAAGCTGAAATAGTACAGCGCCAACAACTGACCTGTATGTACGTCTCCGTATATTCCAAAAATATTCTGTATTTATATATTTAATATCTCTAACAATGGGGGTTGTCCCATTCGGTGGTGTGGGAAAAAAAGCAAAACATCTAATCACATTTCAAAATAAATAATTAAATATTAAATATATAATTTTGCAATTTTCGTCCATTGTAGCAAAGCTCAAGTTAAACTGATCGAATTGAAGTAAACCAATTGACGACATCCGTCAATTGTTTCGAATTCGGGCTGGCCAATTGGATCTCAGTTGTCACCGTAATGATTCGACAGAATAGCTTTCAAACAAATTAAATGACATTTCGTCTCTATTTCTGGTTAGATACTCGATGTTATTGTAACACCTTATTTGGCTCCATTTGTAGACGGTCATATTTCACAGTGTCTGCATGTTTGTCTGTACGTCAAATATTTTTCCAAGTACACCAAATACCCAATAGCAAATATAAGTGGACATGTGAAGCCGCCATTATGTAGTTATCTTGCACGTGTAGCGTAAAATGAAATTGCTTCTGCACTCCAAAACAGTTTAATCAATATAAAAAGTTATCTACAGGGAAAATACAATCGGTTTATTTAGCGAAACAAAAAATGAAGAATGTAAAGTAGTAACGTTTATATTTAAGTAAATAAGAATCGGGCATAAAGTAAAAAGACATATCAGGCTAATGGTTTGACCTTAGTAGCAGCAGAGCTCCCTGTAGACTGCTGGTGAAATTACAGGGATATGGGACTTGTCAACTTATGTCTCGGGAGTGACGGGTGCAGTTGCAGTGTCTCTCAGAGCTTTGTGTTTTAAAGCTCTGAGTGGCATTTGCAACTGTTATGGACCGACGGTTTGCTTACCACCAAGCACATGACTTGTTCGTCCCCTTACTTGGTATTATAAAAAAAGATCTACCGCGTCTCAAGCAGACGCCGTGGGTTCGCATACGGGCTCGCACCTCTAAGTTTTCCTGTATAATGTCCTGTTTGGCGTTTCCCTTGACTTTCTCAGTATTTGTACATATCAATGGTTGCTTAAAGGAGAATAAATAAAAATTCCCACTTTAAAATAATACAAACTACATTGGTACCTATACTTACGTTATATTTACACTATTCTACGCACGTCTCCATAACTAGTTGTAAAATATTAGTAAGACTGTTTACTAACGGAGGATTGTCATCAGCTCCCAAAGTACCGGGTTGCCCTAGTATAGGAACTGATTGCTGGATTGTCTACTTTTTTGGTACTCTATCACTCTAAGAGGAGACGCTTGGGGCACGTGAGTTGCCCTTTAAGTCGGTAGCTATGTCCGGACATTGTCGCAGAATACTGCTAATTGGCATCTCCGGCACTAGCCCGGAGAGCTAGTACAGGATGAGCTAGACATCTTCCGGTCCCTCCGGCCACGTAGAAATTTGGGACCTGGAGAAATGCCGTTCATACGGCATCGGAAAGTAAGCGTGCCTTACAACTCCACCACCAATGAGACGATTTGGTAGTCGACTTAGAGTCG